CGTAACAGAAACGTGCACGCAAGAGGTGACTGGCCTGTGCTTCACCTACCAGACACTACCTTTCATTTCTCTTCCGAAATAACAATCTAAACTCAAAAATATACCTCCCCCTACAGGTCTGGACAAGGAGACATGTCTGATACCTGTACCCCCTCAACAAACGGTTGAATTTGCCCAATCATACAGCCTTCTCACAGAAAATCTCATCCTTACACAGCTTACCCTGTACCTGGGCTTCCATAGGTAATACTTCATTACGAAAGAGTCATGACACTCATATATTTAAGTATATATATGCATTTATTTGATCAAAAATACAGTAATATGAAATAACTGTTTTCTTTTTAAATATATTTTAAAATGTCATTTATTCCTGTGATGGCAAAGCTGAATTTTCAGCAGCCATTACTCCAGTCTTCAGTGTCACATGATCTTTCAGAAATCATTCTAATATTCTGATTTGGTGATTAAGAAATATTTCTTATTATTATCAGTGTTGAAAACAGTTGTGCTGTTTATATTTTTGTGAAAATGAATAGAAACCTCAGAAGAGCATTTATTTGAAATAGAAATCTATTGTAACAATATAAATGTCTTTACCATCTCAATTTAATGATCAATTTAATGTATTCTTGCTCCGTATTCATATCTTTAAAAAAAAAAAACTCACAAGTTATCAGTTTGAATTAGTCTGCCAAAATATTTGCTGCCTGAACTCTCTAAAGGCTTTGTCAGAATAGCTACTGAATTAACATGCAAGTTAAATATTTAAAACATGAAAATATGTACAAAAATAGTATTATTGTTTGTTTTAATGTATGTAGTTATGACCAGTTATGGGGGTGTAGTGATGAACCCAGCTGCATTATGTGGGAAGCACTGATTTGCAGAAAATAAACATATGCTTTAATGGTATTTGTTTGTCAGACTTCATGATCAGATGGTGAAGATGAATCAGTCTCTACACCGGCTGCAGGGGACGTGGCGGGACACGCAGCTCAGTGGAGGCACAGCAGCAGCAGAGCTACGGGAACAGTTTGAACGCCTCATGACAGTCTATCTCTCAACCAAGGCTGCTACCACGCAGCTCGCCATGCTACAAAACTGCCTCAACCTCCAAGCCTCCTGTGCCGCCCTGCTGGTTCAGCTCAGCCTGGGCAACCAGGGGTCTGAGCACATCCCTCTCATCTTTCCCTTACCTGCACTACAGAACAGCCTGCTATGCTTTGTGCCAGGTATCCCCCTAAGTTTTTGTGTTCCTTTTCAGTAAACAAGCTAGTTTCCACCACCGAATTAAAAATAAATAAATAAAAAAGCAATTATGACTTATTTTCCCTCACAATTCTGAGTTTATATCTCATAATTCTGACTTTTTTTCTTGTTAACTCACAGTTGAGAGTTTATGCCTTGGAATTTTGAGGGAAAAAGTCAGAATTGTAAGACAAAAAGTCGCAATTGTGACTTTTTATCTTTTATTCTGTGGCGGAAACAAAAAATGTGAGGTGTAAACAGAATTCACAAGAAAAAAAGAGTCAAAATTGTGATAAAAAAAAAAAAGTCTAAATTTTGAGATATAAACTTAGAAATGAATGGAAAAAGTTTGGATTGTGAGATAAAACGTCACAATTACCCGTTTTATTTATATACCTAAGTGGGCTGCAATTTTTCAAAAACCCAATCTCTTGACAATTTCATAGAATTCTTTGCTGAAAACATGGGCGATTTCTTCATATTCCTCCGCCGCTTTGCTGACGAGGTGTTGGAGTCCTCGGCGGAAAGCTTAGGACATGTCCTGACCTTCATCACTGTGTTCATGGGCAACGTTGATAGGTGTGAGCCGGAGTAATGCTGAGTTTCTCGCACTTTTTTTTTTTTTTGCATTCCATGTGGCTTGTTGTTTTCTCTAGGTTATTTACTCACAGAATGAAGAATCCTCATTTGCGGGCAAAGCTGGCAGAGGTTCTTGAAGCTGTGATGCCCCATATGGAGACTCTGTCACCTGGCACTGTCCAGCCTATCATGTTCCAGCGCCAAAGGGTGTTCAGCACATATCGGCATGCACCCCAACTTGCTGAAGCCCTCATTACAGTGTTTGTGGATATAGAGTTCACTGGTCAGTTTCTGGAGTTTTTTTCTGTTGTTAATTTGATTGTAACATCCTATATTAGATTTTGTAAATGGCTTGTTTCTCAGGTGATCCTCATCAGTTTGAGCAGAAGTTTAATTACAGACGACCAATGTATGCCATTCTGAAGTACATGTGGGGAGAAGAGAGCTACAGGGAGAGCATTAAGGTGAGAACCAGACAGATGTTTTAATATTATAAATAATATTTAGGTTGCTTTGAAATTTTGTTCATCCCTTGCTCGCAATTTCACACAAAAAACATTTGTTTCCTCACAGCGTCTTGCCGATTATGCATCTGAAAATCTTGAAGCCATGAATCCACCACTCTTCCTGAGGTTTCTCAATCTCCTCATGAATGATGCCATCTTCTTACTTGACGAGGCTATACAGGTACTTGTCTGCCTGGGCAGATTGCTTTTGTTTTATGCAAATCCCAACTATTTATACTGGTAACACATTTTGTTTGTTCAATTTAGCTAGGTTGTTCAATTACATTAACATATTAACCTCTAAGTAGTTGATATCAGGAATATTTAATTGATTGATTAAAGATGTGACACTCACACGTGCATCTGTTCCTTCCAGTATTTAAGTAAGATCAAAATCCTCCAGCTGGAGAGGGATCGGGGGGAGTGGGACAGTCTGGCCCCTGACGCCCGCAGAGAGAAAGAATCTAGTCTGCAGATGTTAGGACAGCTTGGTCGCTTCCACAACATCATGTCAAATGAGACCATTGGCACCTTGGCTTTCCTCACATCTGGTAAGAGACGTGAAAGAAACCAAATGCACTAAAATATTAACACCACAGATTTTTTTTGGGTCATAAACTATCTGACCAATTTAGACCTGAACAGAAGGGTTTTAAAGGGGTCATATGATGCGATTTCAATTTTTCCTTTCTCTTTGGAGTGTTACATCGCCGGATCGGCTTTCACTGTGGACGAAGCGGAGTCCAGCCCGGGGTCGTCACATGTGGTTGCCACAAGCCCTCTGGACGCTCCTTCGTCGAATCCGCCCGCCACACCGTTCTTAAGCCCGCCTGCCGCCGCTCACTCTAGCCCCTGGCCTCTGCTCACTCAAGGCTGCCGTGTGCGACGCTGTGTTTCGTTGTGAAAGCGAAACTACTTTGTTTGGCCTTCCAAAAGAGGACGATAGCTGCTTTGTCATGCCTGGAGCTGATCCGTTTCACATTTCATTACACAAAATACACAAAAGAATGTTCTTTTTAGCAACATCATATGACCCCTTTAAATAATTATTGGGTGAAACACTTGGCTTTAAGTGTACAAAGTTACACTAAAACTCAGACTTTTCATGTACTTTTCATTTTCCCCTTCCAGAGATAAAAGGTCTTTTTGTTCATCCCTTTCTTGCTGAGAGGATCATCTCCATGCTCAACTACTTTTTACAGCACCTGGTAGGCCCCAAGATGGGCGCCCTAAAGGTGAAAGACTTCAGTGAATTCGACTTCAAACCCCAGCAGCTAGTGTTGGACATCTGTACTATTTACCTAAACCTGGGGTAGGCTCTTTGATTACATATTATTCCTAAAAAAATAAAGAAATATTAACTGTTATGGATGCTGTTTTAGCCACAGAGATGAAGAAAATTTCTGCGCCACTGTCCCAAAAGATGGAAGGTCATATTCACCCACTCTGTTCTGCCAAACTATCCGTGTACTCAAGAAAATCAACAAGCCTGGCGACATGATTGTATCTTTCAGTCTTTTAGCAGATAAAATTAAGGTTAATTTAATCACTATGCATATTTATCTTAGATACACAGCTTTCGCAGGAAGTCATGGGTGTTTAAATATTAAGTGGTAACCTTGTTGATCTTCTGTGTCTCTTTTAGTCACTTGCAGACAGGCATCAGCAAGAAGAGGAGACCTACTCTGATGCTCCGGATGAATTTCTGGATCCCATCATGTCTACGTTGATGCTTGATCCGGTGCTGCTACCTTCTTCAAACGTCACAGTGGACCGTACAACAATAGCACGACACTTACTAAGGTGAAACGTGTATCAGGTTTATTATAGTAACTAAAACTAAAATTAAACCCAACAAAAAACATTTTCATTACTTAAAATAAATGTTAACTGAAAATGAATTTGAATAACTATTTCAGCTTGCTTTGTCATTTTATTTTAGTTAATTTATTAATTTTATTTACTTGATGCACTAAAATAGCTAAAACTGAAATAAAAATGTATAAAAACTATATATACGTATTAAACACAACAAAATTACTGAAACTTTAAAATTAAAACAGAAAATGTATATATGTATACAACATTATTTTATACTTGTTATTTTGGATACTGGGTATTTATATACTATTATAGTATTTATTAACTTTTTGAATTAAGTTTTATATTTTAATTTTAGTTTACGTTTTAGTGATTTTGTTATGCACATTTGTAATTTTTTATTCGTTTTTGGTTTTGTAAATTATTCTATATATCTTTAATTTTTATTTCAGTTTTAGTAATTTTAGTACTTGAACTTATTTTAGCTGCCAAGGCAACATTTTCAAATTTTTTTTGTTAAGTTTTTATCTAATGTTTATATTTTATTTTATTTTATTTCAGCTTTACAGAAAACAGTTTGAATAGTTTTAGTTAACAGTAATGGCACTGTTATTTGATTAGGTAAAAGTTTTAAAAGCAGTGTTGGTTTTGTCTTTTTTGTTCTAGTGACCAGACAGACCCTTTCAACCGCAGTCCGCTCACCATGGACCAGATCAGGCCCAATGAAGAGCTCAGGCAACAGATCATGAAGTGGCTTGCTGATCATAAGCAAAGCAACCAGCAAATGGGACCCAGTGGCTAAACCACATCACTCCCTTGAGTCCCTTCCCCCAGCACCCAGGCATGCTCTGTATGACTAAGCCATTCAGATGTTTCTGGCCTCTCTCATACCGCTTTGAAACAAGAACATTTAACCACATTCAGAGGAGCACGCCTGCATTCATGCTGTTAATGTGCTCCTCAAAGGTCAAATGCAGATCTCCAAATGCCATATCACTGTAGCATATTCGGCTATCTGTTCTTTCAAACTCCTCTGAGGTCTCCGCAGACAGAACTCAATAACCGGAGTCACTTTTTCTGTTACATTTTGCCTTGCAAAGATGTTCACTGTGGGAAATGAAACTCGGGCTTATAGACAGATGACAGCATACATGAGGCTTGCTTACCCAACCCTCTACGGACACCTTGGCAATTGAATCGCCATTGGCTAGTAAATTTTTTCGTTTACTTGCCAGACTG